TAACTAAATTTTCCCCAGCTTTTTTAATGCTTGGCACTCTCCCATTTAATCATCCTTTATCTGAAGAAATTTTTCCACCAATAGAACCAATAGAAGAAGCAAGAAAAATTGCAGTTGAAAGAACTAAACAATATCATGAAACAAATAAAAGTTATTATGATGCATGATTCACTCATATTGGATTTTCCCCAAATGATACTGTAATGTATGAAGATTTTAAATACCCCCATACTAGGAAACTTACCCCAACTTTTTCCGGTCCATATATAATTCTTGAAAAAATTTCTGATGTTAATTATAAAATAAATAAAAAGAATATTCATAATAAAGAAAATTCAGAAATAGTTCATGTATCAAAATTGCGAAGGTACCACCCACCTGACAAACTGAAATTATGTCACGAATAAAAAACATGTAATTATTTAAATGGAGAAGACTATATTTTATATTAAATTTAATGATTTTTCATTGTTAAAATAAATTAAAAACACCGAATATGACAACATTACACATGGTTCAATGAACATGTGGTCCCCTTTTTTTCTGGAAGATCCGTCCTTTCAAATTTTCTTCTTCATGTTCAAGGTTTACCCAATCTAAAAGGATATGGGGCGATGGTAGTTTTTCTCTGTGGAAAAAAAAAAATAATACTTAAGCATCTGTTGAAACTAGGATCTTCCAGCACATCATTGTTGAGACTAGGGACTGTTTTCCTCCTTTTGGGGAATACAGCCCCTAATCCAGCAAAAATTTCCCCCTAATAACACTGAAGTCTTAAACTTCAGATTAAAGACCATCGTGTCAAATTTTTTTACATTTTATTTTCAAAATGGACAAATTCTGAATACAAATTTCAGATTGAAATTTTTTTTGGAAAAAAAAAAGTGTCAATTTGTATTTTTATATCTCATATCACTTGTATTTTCATGTTTTTTAATATTTGCATTTTTAGAAAATTTTTATAGATTTTCTTATCTAAGTGAAAAGTTTGCTTAAATTGTGTTTGTAGGAGGAATAACTTTATTTATTGTGATTTTCAAGGGACTGAAAAAACTTGAATCACAAAAACTATTGAAAATGAAGATCTAATACTTCAAATTTTTTTTTCTTCCTCGAGCACTCCAAGAAAATTTATTTTTCATTGTGTACTAATGTGTATTTTTTTTTATAATTCATGATACGTTATATCTTGTTAAAAGTGCAATTGATTCTTTTTATATTTTTTGTGTCTTCATAAGGAAAGTTTTGCGAAAGGATAAAACATGTTCCATTTTTTCTTTCTGTTTAGTTGCCTAAACATATAGATTGCATTATTATGTTTTTTATTGTTGTTACTGTAAATTATATTTTTCACATAAATGGAAAAATGTTGTTTATTGTAAGAAAGAGGACAGTCGTACCAACATAAACTTTATAAATTCATAGTATTCTAAATGTTATTATTATTTTTTTCGGCTTACCAAAACAATTTTTTTGGGGGAGGGGATGTAATACAAAAGTTATAAAAATACTTTTGTATTAATAAAAGCATTAAAACTTTTTCGTGTTCATAAAATGCAGATATTCTATTTTGGGACTTCAAGGCCGAAAACATGCCAATGAATTAGAATTAGATTTATGTTTCAAAAGAGGAGTTATTTTAAGATCTTTCACTTCCATATAAGGAAAGATTAAACGATTTTCTATGAGTAATAAATAATTTTGATGAGGCGTAAGAATACAATTAATACAATATGACTGCCCTGTTTACCCGTTGAAAGTATCGTATAAAACCTAAGAGCGATGCTTTTCGCGTGTCTTTTGGTGTTTCATGTTTACCATCTGAACTCCGTCGTTTTGACGGGAATTTGTGTCTTTCCCCCTCCGGCTGGAGAGTGGGTGAGATTTCTGCTTACATCATACTCCAGTAAATAAAGCCTGTTAAAATCTATCGACTTATTATTTCTACAAATGTAAATTAAAAACAATAACCAAATATCGGGGTTTGTTACCCTGATATGATATATATATATATATATATATATATTTCGGTTATCACGATTGGTAAAGGGAAAAACTTGAAATGTTAACTCTAACATTCTTTATTCTAAATTTAGAACTAAAATGCATGATATGAATAATAAAAGTGAGTGAGAACACGTTTCGTTTTAAGTAATTAACTAAACAAGAGAATTTAGTAACATAAAAAGATTTGTTAAAGATTTTTATGAATATGAACAATGACAGACGACGCACTAAATAAGTAATTTCCCTAAGAAAAGTAAACTCACGTGTAAATGGCAGCCTAAAAGCAAATGTATATTTTCAAGCTCAAATGAGTTGTTTGAAATTTGTAGCTGCTTGAATCGAAAATATTTCTTTTATCTTTTATGTCAGATGAACATATATTTTCCCAATTAGTTAATTTTAATTTTAGAAAACTAAAACTAAGATTGTTATCGTGATTTTTATAAAGAGTAAATGCTTTAGAAAAAAAAATTGATAAATAGCTTACAATATATATAATTAAAGCTAATAATGTGTTATCAATATATCGGAAATCGCATTTATTAATTAAAATAATTAGAATTACTAATTTCATAATAGTAAATATATAAAAACAACCAAATTTTATAAGCAAATGATACAGTTAGCGATATTTTTAGCAATTATTCATTGAGTATATAAAGCTTAATGAAAAAATAGCTTTATATACTCATCTTCATTTATTGCGCAATAACCAGACATTGATGAAATTGATTAAATACTTTAATAACAACATNCGTCCCTTTACTTATTGTTACAATTGTCCCCAAGACGCCATTTCAGCTTCATTTGTTAAAAACAATGCTAGTTAATTAGCAAAACTAAATTTTTTTTTATTGAAATGTTAATTAAGGTGTCCACTTACATATTCGGTTAATAATTTTTAGTTGTTTAAACAAAATTACTTTGTTACAATATAATATTCCAATACCAAAAAAAGTACTTAAGTAGCGTGAAAATATCTTTTGTGATGTAACTCTTTCAAAAGTACATAAAAATTGTTGCCAGCAGGGGTGTACATGTTGATAAATACACCTTGTGCGCCACCTAGGAACCAACTCTAGAACCCGACACTCGAAATTTTTGCTCTGTTACCATCGTGCCCTGTTACAATTGACCCCACTCTCCCCTATGCCTTATAAAAACAAAATTAACTGTGATTAAAAATGGCCTTTTGTTTTATTTCGTTAGTCAAAAGAAACCGTTTAAGCTTTTTTGCCCTATACATTATACGCCAGGCCTGCTTTTATGCCATAGTTTGTTAAAGACTCAATACAGCTATTTCTTATAATTTTTTAACTGAATAAATACTTTAGATGTAAAATCTAACAGCTGTATTAAAAATGATTAAAATATAACAATACAAGAAATTTATTCAATTTCACTACAAGTATGCTATTTTTCTTTTTTATGAGGTAGTTTTTTACAAGTGAAAAAAGTTAGTCAACACGCTTTTCTATTTGGATCTTCTAACACCTCTTATAAAACACACTTTTTAAATTGATTATAATTATTATTACAGTTTTTATTAACTAGTGTTTTAAAATCTCATTGCTCACTTTCTGAAATTGATATCAAGCATAAAAATTTCAAAAATGTAAAATTTCCTGCTTAAATAAATAAAAAAAAACAATAGACTGATATCATTAATACTGATTATTTTTATTGAATGACTTTTACCTTTCGCAAAATATTTAAAAAATGATTCATTAAAGGTTGACTACCTAAAATACATACACACCCCTTATACGTTACCTAAAGTATAAGTCATCCTTAGAAATCAAAATGTGGTTTTATTGTTTCTAATTTTATCTTTTATCACTAAATTGCTTTATTTTAAGAGCGATATGATAGTGAAACTAAGTAATATTTTGTAATAGTCTTGTTCAATTTCTAGGGAAAAAAAGAATAATTTATTATTTACACAATAGATAGTTGAAGTGTTTGATATGTATGATTAAGTATTAGTTTTTGCGTGCCTAATGCTTTTTACTTGGTGCAATATATCAATATAATTGAAGTGTTTGCTTTAGGTGCAATTGATGGTTATCTATAATTAAAATGAAATTTTTTTGCTAAAATTGTATATTTTTAATACTTGATATGGTTTCGGACTTACTGAACTGAAGTAATAGTTAATCAATAAATATTAAATAAGGGCTCAATCATCGCTAATTTTTTCTGCTTTCGTTTTAAGATATAAGATCATGGATTCCTGATTAAGTCATGCACGTGAATTGCTTTTACATTTATAATTTATCATTTCATTAATATCAATTATCAACTGATATTGTTAGTTATTATTGATATATTATCAGTTATTATTTATCAGTTAATCTTTCGACGCAGATGAACACCGGTGACCCTGTTTTATATTTTTCCAACTCTCTAATTACAATCAAAAATGAGTTTTGATATTTTTTTAATTATTAAAAACTATCTAGTAGCTACTAAAAATATCTGTTTTACGGACGATACACCCAAAATGCTGGCATTTTATGCAGTAATTTCTTTCTGCTTTTGTTTTAAGAAATAAGATCATGGATTCCTTATTAAGTCATGCACGTGAATTACTTTTACATTAATAATTTATCATTTCATTAATATCAATTATTAATTGATATTATTAGTTATTATTGATGTATTATCAGTTATTATTTATCAGTTAATCTTTCGACGCAGATGAACACCGGTGACCTTATTAAATATTTTTCTAACGCTCTAATTACTATCAAAAATGTGTTCTGATATTTTTTAATCATAAAAAAACAATCTAATAGCTATTAAAAATATCCGTTTTACATACTATGTACCCAAAATGCCGGTACTTTATGCAGTAATTTCTTCCAGACTTTTTTACAGTGCATACATTGTATTTTATATCCATCTAAACATCAAAGTAGACTTTGGCAAGTACTCTTTTTCAAATTAAATACTAAAAAAAAAATGAAATAAATGAACCCAACACACGTACAGAGAAAATGAATCGCTTTTAATGATGAATGAATAAAACACAAGAAACATGTAAGTTTTAAATGCAACAAAATAACACAAAACACATTTCGTTTAAACTGAACATTTGGTGGTTTTTCTTCAATGATTTTTTTCATCATTTTTCTAATTAATGAACGATATTCTTTCAAATAAACTCCCTTCAATAAATTATATGGGCACTTATAAAATCATAAAAAATCAATGAAGAATGGGAATGAAACAAAAAAAAATATTTAATGCAGTTCAATACAATATTTTACACATGAATCCCAAACTGTGACATGATTAATAAATAATTACTGTTAGAAAACAAACAATTGAAGCTTAAATTTTCATTACAACTTAAAAAAATTACTTGTTTTCTTAACCATTTTTAATGATTAATGAAATGTGTGCTTAGTTTATAAAGATTCATTAGTTTCGTAAAATGTTTAAATATTTCTCTATTAGCAGCGTAGAATGTTTTGCAATTTATTAAATGAAGAAAATTGTTTGTTTTCTAAAAGGCATTTGCATATGCAACACCGAAAATAAACTAATAAGAGGGTTTTTTTCCATCACAGTTTGAGAATAAATACAGATGATTAAATTAGATGAATAATTTAAATAAAATGATTCATAAATAGTTCATCGATTGATTTTGTTTTGCTTGATGGCCTTTTTTTTGGAGAAATCCAGCTCCAGTTGGTGGTAAAAATAATTTAGAAGACCTGAAAAAAATAGAAAATAAAGAGAATAAACTTATATTCAACAATTTAGTTTTTCTTTTCAATTTCTAAATTTAACTCACTCTATCAACAAAGAATGAAAGATAAAAATATATTTTAAAAAAATCTATATTCACAGAATTCTGAATTATTCATTGTATTTTCACGATTATATAGTCGTATTTCTTGGTAAAAACAAATTTGATAAATGGTAAAAATTAAATAGTTTATTATTATAGCAATCCTTTTAATAAACGAATTTGAAACACATTGTCTCAGCACAAGGAATAATTTTTTGCATTTTAAAATTTTTATTTTGCTTTTAATTTCAAATTTTTTTTAAGTTTATCTCTGAGTATGTATAACCGATTCCTATAGCGTTTATATGGTATTTACCAGTCACCCTTTGGTAGCTTTGAGGTATCTATACATATAAACTTGTTTTTAGACTAGTTATTTTAATTCAAGGTTGCAGAGGAATTTTTTAAATGAGAATAATAAATTTTTGCTTTATTTGCTTATAGTAAAGCTTCAGTGCATTCAAAACGAAAGTTAATATCTTTCGATTATCTTATCTTGATTCATTTGTTACAAGGAGAAGAAAGTTATCGTATCTGAGAAAATTACCGTATTGCATGGTTATAGCATTTCTGGTAAGAAACCCCTCATAAGCAATGTTAATAAAATTAAAATATACGATTTTTAAACAATTCATTTGGTAATTTTTCCGTTCATATGGTAATGGCTTACCAAAAATTCTGGTTTTCAAAGTTGCAGTTTTTTTAACCACACATTTAATAAAAAATACAAACTAAAAAATAAATTTAACCAATTAATTGTTTTTTTTATGTCATATTCTAAGATATCATGATAAAATGACCAAATTTTACCTCAATTACCAAACTCTTTCCCGCAGTATAAACTCACATTTTAGTGTAAATTGTACAAACATCATTCCTAAAGCGCTTCTGTAAAAATTGCTTGACTTTTCGATATTCCCTTATAATTAGAAATACGGTAAATTTTACCATATCTTCTGCTTGAATGACCATGTTTTTTCTCAGTGTCTATCGAACTTTACTTAAATACAATGTCCCTACTTTCTGCACTTGATTGCCTAGGGGTATTCAACAGAGATTCATTGATTATTTACCAATTTTTACCCTTTACAGAGAACGGATATTCAGCTGATAATTAATGAATCGAAACTAAGCTTTCATGTCAAAACTAAAGTCATTAACAATCCCACTGAAAATACTGGATTATAGCCAGTCCTGCTTAAATTGCTCAAACTTGCAGTGAAATAAACAGCTTGGGTATTCAACAATGGATATTGAGTTGATAATTAATGAATCGAACTAAGCTTTCATATCAAAACTAAAGTCATAAACTATTCCACTGAAAATACTGGATTAGAGACAGACATGCTTAAATTGCTCAAACTTGCAGTGAAATAAACAGCTTGGGTATTCAACAACGGATATTCAGCTGATAATTAATGAATCAAACTAAGCTTTCTTATCAAATCTAAAGTCATAAACTATCCCGCTGAAAATACTGGATTAGAGCCAGACATGCTTAAATTGCTCAAACTTGCAGTGAAATAAACATCTTGGGTATTCAACAGCGGATATTCAGCTGATAATTAATGAATCGAACTAAGCTTTCATATCAAAACTAAAGTCATAAACTATCCCATTGAAAATACTGGATTAGAGTCACACATGTTTAAATTGCTCAAACTTGCAGTGAAATAAACAGCTTGGGTATTCAACAAAGGATATTCAGTTGATAATTAGTGAATCGAACTAAGCTTTCATATTAAATCTAAAGTCATGAACTATCCCGCTGAAAATACTGGATTAGAGACAGACATGCTTAAATTGCTCAAACTTGCAGTGAAATAAACATCTTGGGTATTCAACAACATTCTAAGTTCTTTTTAGTGTGGTGAAATTTTTTTTCTTCCTCAGTGTAGAATAATAGAAAGATTTCGCATTGAGTTTCATTCGCGTAAACCGTAACGCTAACCTTATTTTCCAGCCATACCGGTTCTGAGATTTGTAGGAATAGTTTTGAGTATGCACAGTGTTGACCAAATAGTGTTAGCGTTTGAGCTACAGGAAATGGTTATGTAAAATCTCCTTTAGAGAATATTTTTGGTCTTCGTTATCATCATCACAAATCGGTATCATTGCAGCGGCTCCAGCTGCATTACCGGCGTGTGTTGAATCAACAGAAGCTGAATTTGTATCTGGACATTTAGCCCGCAAATTGTAAAAAATTCCTGATCAAATTTTTAAATCAAATCCTGGCATTTAGGACGTATCATCCGTAAAGTCCGATAAAATATCATACCATAATTTTTACTGTAGTATTTATTTAGTTGGAGTGATTCAGTGATTTTATGGTAATTATTACTGTAAAAATTACGGCATATCAGATTTTTCATTCCGTAACATGTTCAGATAAGAATGGATTTTACGGTGAAAAATAGCTGCCCCCTGAGTGCCGGTATTTTTACCGTAATTTTATCCGGAANCTGAAAGATAAAAATATATTTTAAAAAAATCTATATTCACAGAATTCTGAATTATTCATTGTATTTTCACGATTATATAGTCGTATTTCTTGGTAAAAACAAATTTGATAAATGGTAAAAATTAAATAGTTTATTATTATAGCAATCTTTTAAATAAACGAATTTGAAACACATTGTCTCAGCACAAGGAATAACTTTTAGTATTTTAACATTTTTATTTTGTTTTTAATTTCAAATTTTTTTAATTTTATTTCTGGGTATGTATAACTGATTCATATAGCGTTTATATGATACTTACTAGTCACCCTTTGGTAACTTTGAGGTATCTATACATATAAACTTGTTTTCAGACTAGTTATTTTAATTCAAGGTTGAAGGGGAAGTTTTTAAATGAGAACAACACATTTTTGCTTTATTTGCTTACAGTAAAGCTTCAGTGCATTTAAAACGAAGGTAATATCTTTCGATTATCTTATCTTGATTCGTTTGTTACAAGGAGAAGAAAGTTATTGCATCTGAGGAAATTACCGTATTGCATGGTTATAACATTTCTGGTAAGAAACCTCTCACCAGAAATGTTAATAAAACCTCTCACCATGTTAATAAAATTAAAATATACGGTTCTCAAACAATTCATTTGGTAATTTTTCGGGTCATATGGTAATGGTTTACCAAAAATTCTGGTTTTCAAAGTTGTAGTTTTTTAACCACACATTTAACACAAAATACAAAACTGAAAAATAAATTTAACCAATCAATTGTTTTTTTATGTCATATTCTAAGATATCATGATTAAATGACCAAATTTTACCACAATTACCAAACTCTTTCACGCAGTATAAACTCACATTTTAGTGTAAATTATACAAACATCATTCCTAAAGCGCTTCTGTAAAAATTACTTAACTTTTTGATATTCCCTCATAATTAGAAACACCGTAAATTTTATCTAGCATATATTCTGCTAGAATGACCATGTTTTTTCTCAGTGTCTATATCGAATTTTACTTAAATACAATGCCCCTACTTTTTGCACTTGATTGCCTAGGGGTATTCAACAGAGATTCATTGATTATTTACCAATGTTTACCCCTTACAGAGAACGGATATTCAGCTGATAATTAATGAATCGAACTAAGCTTTCATATCAAAACTAAAGTCATAAACTATCCCACTGAAAATACTGGATTAGAGACAGACATGCTTAAATTGCTCAAACTTGCAGTGAAATAAACAGCTTGGGTATTCAACAGCGGATATTCAGCTGATAATTAATGAATTGAACTAAGTTTTCATGTCAAAACTAAAGTCATAAACAATCCCACTGTAAATGCTGGATTAGAGACAGACATGCTTAAATTGCTCAAACTTGCAGTGAAATAAACATCTTGGGTATTCAACAACATTTTAAGTTCTTTTTGGTGTGGCGAGAATTGAGTTTCATTCGCGTAAACCGTAACGCTAACCTTATTTTCCAACCATACCGGTTCTGAGATTTGAAAGAATAGTTTTGAGTATGCACAGTGTAGACCAAATAGTGTTAGCGTTTGAGCTACAGGAAATAGTTATGCAAAATCTCCTTTAGAGAATATTTTTTGTCTTCGTTATCATCATCACAAAGCGGTATCATTGTAGCGGCTCTAGCTGCATTACCGGCGTGTGTTGAATCAACAGAAGCTGAATTTGTATTTGGACATTTAGCCCGCAAATTGTAAAAAATTCCTGATCAAATTTTTAAATCAAATCCTGGCATTTAGGACGTATCATCCGTAAAGTCCGATAAAATATCATACCATAATTTTTACTGTAGTATTTATTTAGTTGGAGTGATTCAGTGATTTTATGGTAATTATTACTGTAAAAATTACGGCATATCAGATTTTTCATTCCGTAACATGTTCAGATAAGAATGGATTTTACGGTGAAAAATAGCTGCCCCCTGAGTGCCGGTATTTTTACCGTAATTTTATCCGGAAATCATTTGAGAATTATTTATACTTTTCTTTTGTTAATTGATATGATTAATTATTTACTAGTGTTATACGTAAATTTAGAGAAACTCTTGTGAATTGTGATGAAGCCTGTTCTTAATTTTAAATTGCTACCTTACATTTCAAGAGGAATTTAAAAGTTCCTGTTTTTGGAATTTTTTTCAAAGCAACACTTAATAGTTATTTGCTGAAAATTGTTTATTACATAATTATGATATTTTTTGAACAAAATATTTTATTACTGGTATGAATAAAGCTTGAATTGGAATTTGCGATGTCTTTGTGTTATATTTAATGCATATCTTAGATATGCATTAAAAGCACATGGATCATAAAAACCATACTCTTTAACTACATTTAAGTAGCTGAATAAAGCCCACCTTATAACAACAGGCGTTGTGGGTTCGACGGTCACGGAGGTTAAGGATACACTATTTCGTGAACAACGGCAGGCCATTCGATGGTCAGCTTTGTCGCTTCACCAACAAGAATAGAACCCCAGCCCTTTGATAATTACAGCTCTGTGTCTTAAGTTGTTATTATATTATAGTCAATAATATGAGATGTAAAGGTTTAAAATATTAACTAAATGATTCAATCAGTATTAAAAGCGATGCTATGATGTTAACACTATCTGAGAAATAAGAAAAATAAGTTTTATACATTATGTAATAATATTATCGCAAAATTTAGTTGTCATTTTTTTATTTCTGATTTCTTTAAAAACCACCCGAAAAAATTTTTCAAAATCTTCACTTTTAGAATGAAAGTTACACAATCTTTTAAATCTATCACCTCTGCATGCAGTCATAAAAGAGGACATCGCATTAATCTATCCGTGTTTAATTAATTAACATTGGAGTTGAATACGCTAAAAAAAAGTTAAGTTACGCAAAACGTCTTGTTCAACCTTACCTGAGTTCGTAGAATAATATTTCTAGATTCAAATCATACAAGGCAGCTGAGTATATCGTAGTGAGAATCCATATTGTGAATTGTTGGCATTCGTAGAAGCATCACTGTTGCTTTTCACTCGTAGCATGAATGGCTTACTGCGGGCTAAAGAAGAAACAATTACGTACTTAAAACTAAAATAGAACTACAAACAAAAATTTGGTGATGAAATAGGTTTTAATGTACTTATTGAAATCAGAATACAATTTGCTGAACAATTTGATTGCGCGTAGCTCTCTGGTTTGGATAACCGGCTTAAAAAAAGGCGTCCTATGAATCAGTTACATTTTAAACTAGCAGGCGATGTGCGATAGCCTCAAAATAATATTACCCATTCACAATTTAAAGCATCTGACAATTTCTCGGCAATGAAATCTTAATTCACTGGTCCTCACCGTAAACAGAGATTTCATTGAGCTGAAAATAAAATTGCATTTCCAAATCTTTTTAAATATTACTGCATTTTAAATGTAATTTCGTTCATGATGCTTAAAGCAAACTTACTTTTGCCAATTTAATGCCTGATTTGCCCCTCTCAGAAACTGTGGTTTTTCTAGTTTTCTTTCTAACCTTCATTTTTCGTTGGCAACTTGTCGTTTAATATTTTAAATCGCTTTTATTTCTTCTCATTCACGTTTGGCAAGTCCTGAAAACTGGCGTTTGCTTTTGAAAGTTAGAAGCATGCTGACTGTTAATTCTTATTTGTATATTTTTGCAGCAAACTGAAGTTTTTAATCAAATAATGTAATGCATTGTGTTACGTCGCTTAATTAAAAATGCGTCTTTTTTTATTCATTTTTTATAAAGAAAAAATTTTAAAATAAAAATTTAGAGTTCAAATGGATCACATCATTTTGAACTTGCATACAATAATTAAAAACATGTCTCTTATGGACTAAAATTTTGTTCACATTTTTCTGCCTTCTCTCCAAAATTATTAAAAAGAGTAACCACTTCACGCAACATTAAATGTCCAACTAATTTCTAACATTTTCTAAAAAGATCCAAACACAAACGAAAGGAAAAATCCATGTATTATTCGGTATAAAATTATAAAGTTAAAATAAGTTCAAAAATTTAAAATTTTAGTAATTTTTGATAAATGTATCTAATGGAGAAAAAAATTGTCGATAATTAATCATTACTAAGTCTAGCGTCTCTCTATTTATATTGGAAAAATACTTACAGATGAGTAAATCTCTGTCGTGTAATTTTGTGCCACAGAAACGATCTTCTCCGGGTCCCATTCCATCCTCTGAGCCTTGATCAATGCCAACAAAATCGTCTTCATTACAGATTGAGCCACTTGCTCCACCGTCGTGGGGAGCACCCCAAGAGAAGGACCCTATAGTTTCGGTTTCCCATTTAATGGAACAGAAATTTTCTTCCACTCTGACACAGGAGGTGTAGCGCAAATTGCTCAGATAGCGCACTTGACCTTCTGCTCTAGCTCCATAATTAAAGCTCCTTACAACATCGCTCGGGTTCCTAAAGTATTGAAGGCAACCTGCTGGAGCTGAAATTGGAAAATAGGTCAAAATAACGTGATAGATTGCAGAAAAAAAATAGTTACGTTTTGAATTATCGTTATTACATTGGCAAACGGCAAAAATTATTTTTATCAAATACAGTTTTGATTGTTTCAGAATGCAAATTGATCACCCTATTCTTCGTTAATAAAAATTCAAACATATGGCTTTTTTCATGAGCTGTTCTTAAAACTGCTGCCTGATTTTTAAAAAAAATTTGAATTTCGTCATTAAAGAAACATGAAGTTTAAGAACTTGCAAAAATTTGTATACCAAATGATGTAACACTTTTCAGTCATTTATTATTGAAATAAAAAAAAATACGAAGGAAATATATTTATTTATATTTTGCATGTGATTAATCTTTCAACGCATGCGTTTTACATTTGTATGAAAAATGTTTTCCTGACTTAAAAAAAGAAAACAGAACCATATTTCCAGAATTGGCTTCACTCATATTTCGAAAGTAAAAAAATTGAAAGCTGAAATGCGTTTTCGTTTAGAAAAAACACACATTTGTGTTCTGCTTTCGTAACTCAAGTTATCGTCTGCAGTAATTGGTTAGCTTTTCTAAATTTAGTGCTTGAATCATCTGAACAGTGGCACAATAAAAAAAATTAATAAATAAATATATATTTTTATGTTTTTACATGGGTAAAATGTTAATTACGTGGGTAAAATGTTTTCCTGTCTTGAAAAACTTAGAACCTTATTTCCAAATTGCGACTTCATTCATATTTTGAAAGTAAAAAATTCGAATGATAAAATGTCTTTTCATTCAGAGAAAACATGCATTTGTGTTCTGATTTCTGAACTAAAAATATCGTTTGCAGTAATTGGTTAACCTTTCTAGGTTTAGCTTTTGAATCATTGAAATTGCGTAGCAGTACGTGTAAATATGATTATTTTATCAAAAGTTACGCAAGTGTTCAACTTTTTTTTTGTTTTGTTTTGCACACTGATCACTTGCCTTAATTCTGTTTTTGAATATGACGATTTTACTCTGAACGATCAAAAATGTAATTCGCTAAAAACACACTAAAAATGATTATAATTTTTAAAAAAAGCATGCGTAAGATAGAACTATTACTTTCTAAAAGTAACAAATATATGTTTGTTCAGAGATATACCTATTTTATTAATTAGCCATTGAAAAATTTCAGTTATATTTAGGAATATAATTTACCCATATTCAGACTTCCGCATTCTATCATTGAAATCTTGATTTTCCATCTTCGAGACATTTTGTCACCATTACTTACAACACTCAACACAACTGGATTTCCTGAGCCACGCCCCATGTCAACATACACTGAAAATAATAATTTTTATTAATTTTTTAGCAAAAATATTAGTTGAAATTATGAATTCAAAACAATTTACATTCAGTAATAAGATATAAAATTTACAGAATTTTTTTTCAACATTTAATACATGCCGCAAGAAAAATAAAAACCGTAAATCGTAATTGTTACTTAAGTTCTAAATGAAAAGGAAACATTTCAAGGTATAAATTATAAAATTTAAGGATTTTTCTTAGATATAAAAGCGAAAGTAATTCTTTATTTGAAAAATATATTACATTCAATAGTTGAAATTCGCATTATTGTCTTAAATAAAATTAATACCTTAAAAACCTTTAAACATCCATTTTGAAATTTTTTTTTTAAGAAAAAAAACAGTAGCTCTTTAAAGTGAGTAAAAGAATAAGTGAAAACGATTTTTTAGAATTGCTTTCCAATTTTATAATTAAAACATTTGCTTCGATAATACAATCAGTTAGATGTTTAACAATGATATTAATAGTAGTAGTAAAAAGCAAAAACAGTCCTGCAATAGCTATTTTATTTTATTTTATAACCGTCGTTGAACAGCCGACCCAATTTTTGGGTTTGCGACTAATGTTAAACTCCATAGCCTTGTAATTTTAAAACCAATCCAGAAGACAAGGGAACTCCTGGATCAAGTATTAGGAGAATTTTGCCTTCGTGGAGGACTTTTTGATGGAACTAACCCGCATTTACGTTACATGGAGAGGAAGATCACGAGAACCTCCCACAGTTAGCCTGACGTCAAGGGGACTCTAACCCATGATCCGTCAACCACTGAGGATATTTCACGTCAGCACTGTGGCCGGTGCAAGCCAGATGCGGAATTCGCATAGACCGGCCATCTCCGGGATCGAACCCCGGTTCACCTCATTGGAAGGCGAAAGCTCTGTCCCCTGAGCCATCGCGACTCTGCAATAGCTATTTGTAGACCAAGGGATCATGGAGGTTGGAGTGCCACAATTTTGAGATCTGCGACGTAATGGTGGCAATATGGTCTCAGCATTGCTCGCCGGCGACCTTTACTTCTGAAACTAGTTGCAACTCTTTAATCGAAAGCTGGGTGGCTTTAAGCCACTATGGTGGATAGTACCCCATTTCTTCATAATGCCAGATCAGAGTCATAACCATTGTGTCATCGTGGCTTAATCAACAATAGCAAGAAACGTTTTAATGTGAAGGTATTATATCATCTCACCACTTAGTAGTCTATTGCAATTGAATACCTACAAATGACGTCATCATACGCAAATCATGGCATTTGTCGATTCAGAAGTCAATCAGGTTGACAGACACGCGTGATGTCGTTTACAGGTATCCAATTAAATATGACTTAAATCACAAATTATCACTTACCTTCCCCTCGAGAGGAATGTCCCCAATTTAGAGCATAATTTGAATTTTTAATAATTTTATCAATCATTTTACGAAATTTAAAATTAACTGTAACAAGCAATAAACTTACAGTGCTGTCCTTTATTTTCTCCGCACAGAATTGGCAATCTTTCTCCCACTGTGGTACGCACCATGAAGGAATCTGTCGTGCACAAACCCATATCATCAGGTTCGGACAAGAAAAATTCGTGGAAATCCAATCTCAATTGGCAAACGTTATCAGGCTTTTCGATAGTCACTTGGCATGTGTCTGTACCATTTTCTTGATTTGGGTAATTTCTGTTTACAAACACCGTTTCATTTTGACTTGTAATATCACCACATGTAAATTTAGCTGTAAGAATAAAAACAAATTTTTTTTTTTACATTTCCAGTGAAATGAGTGAAATTGAGATACATTTAAAATACACTCTTTAGATACTTTTTTTTAAAATTTAAACTTTCTCTCGATAAGTTTGTAAAATAAATTTATTTTATGGCAATAAATTTATTTGATATCACTGTTAATTTTTTTTTAATTTTTGAAAATTACTATATTAAATAATTACGCATTCAAATTTTTAAATTTAAAAATTATCTTGCATTTATAAGTTAAATTTTTACTATAAGCAATAAATTTATAGTTAAAAGTTGATTAAAATGCTCAGTTGATGTTTTACTCAAAATACAAAAACAATGTTTAGTATTACGGTAAAAAGATACATAAAAAATTTATGGTCTGAACTACCAGAATATGGAAAAAATTTACAGTGTTTCTGGCTCGATGGGAACATGAAAAAGATTGGCAATTTTAATCGAAGTTATTTATTCAAATTTTTAAATTTTTTAAATTTTTTATTAAATTATGGTTTTATAATGCGTGATAAAATTTGCTAAATGTGGTTATTTTATCATGATACCTTAGAGCATGGCATTTAAACAATCCATTCGGCTGTATTTATTTTTTAATTTACTATTTTTTATTAAATTTGTGGTAACTATAAGATGGAAAACCTGAATTTTCGATTACCAGATGAACGGAAAGATACAAAATGAATAGTTTAAATACCGTATACTTTGATTTTACTACCGGGATTATGTTGGTTTATTTTACCGACCGTTGGTATTTCCGTTGTTAAAAAAATTCTGGTAAAATTTACCATATGGTACGGAAATTTTACCAGAATTTTTTTCGCCGTGTAGCAACAAAAGATCTGAAAATCTTTTAGATTATTTAACAAAACCTTTTTTAAAATAAATATAGCATTTCTGTATTTTTTATTTGAATTATCATACTTTGTTGGACATGAAAAATTTTTAGAAACTATTTTCCTTTCGTAATAACATGATTTAAAGAATACTATTGACCATCGAAAAATAATTATATGCAGAGAGTCTGAAAAAATTTAGAATAATTATGTACAGAGAGTATGAAAAATTTAGAATAATTATACACACAGCCAGAAAAAATAATCATATAAAAATAATTATATACATAATTATATATGTTATTTAGACTACTGTCCGAAGCCAACGCAAGGAATATCAGAACCAAATTTTATATGTTAGATGAACTCACTTGACCCCTTACAGTTTACTCTGGTTATATTTTAAAATTACAAAGTAATAACTTGAGAAGACACAATTACAGATATACAATTAAATGAAATTTGCACGGTAAATTTAAAAAGTGAAATTGTCACACTAGAGTATGTTGGAGTCATTCAGGATTAACTAACTGCGTTAATAAATCAAGATATTTTAAGGGGAAAAAATTCATTAGGAAATGCTCAAATAATCTCACAACTATGAAACAAGAGTAGTTTTTCTTAAACCTCTAAAATTATGGGAGAGAACGACACCTTTCCCACACCTCGGCTTTAGAGGAAGAACACGTTTGGTTACATTTTGAAAACACTTAGATTCTAGTTTATAGAGGTTTATCTGGTTTATGATCTTCTTAAAGCATGCAGAATTAATCTATTCTGCCAGGTATTTAAATTCTACGGTATTAAAGAGAGAATTGTGTTCTCTAAACAATTTTTCAGTGTTAAGTTATTTTTTTATTTTAAATCCAATTAAATATCCCTTAATGCGTTAGCTTCTCATCAAAATTAATTTTCCAGTTATTCCTGATGCATGAGTTTTTTTAATTATTAAATTTTTAAACTAGGCAAAAAGAAAATTATTTTGAAGCATCTTAAAAATATTTAAAAAAAAACCCTATTTTAATTTCATAATTTCCCATGAGATTTATTGGCTAAGGAAATAAAAAAGCACTAAATTTGGGATGAATGTCTCGATTAATATAAGAACGATAATAATTTCCAGGCTATTTCAGCTTCTCTATTATGTTCTCACAAAAGCACGAGCCATTACACAATGAGCTATTATCCTTCCGGAAATTGTTTTTGCGGTAGAAGTCTCGAATTTTTCTCTTCTAAGCTCTGAATAAAGCCGATCGAACTCTGAATAGAATGAAAAATTATTACTGCAGGGTATTATTCCATTCAGGGAATTTATCGCTTTTGGCGACGTCTTTGATGATGGCTAAGACTTGCCTCTTTTAGAATGGATATTGATTAAGTATTATGTCGATTTGTCACTTACACAGACAGCAAGTACTCAAACCACGAGCACATGTTCCAATATTAGTTCCTTTTCTTCGATCACAATCGTTGGCATCACTTAAACATATTCCTTCATCACCAGATATTCCTTTGCATGGAGAATTTTGATATCGAATTATAGTAATAAGGTCACCTGTAAAAAGAAATGAGTGATGTCTGTAATAAATACGGAATTAAAAATGCAGCAAAATAAAATTTGTGTATGTATAATACATAAATTATTATGCATAAATTTGATAATAAACTTTGGACAACAAGCAATTAAATTCTAATTTCTTCTATAAGTTAATATTTTTAAGTTCACAGGTTAAATACAAAATTTTAGTACAAAACTGAAAAAAGAATTAAGGAAATTCTTTTTTTCTTAAAAAAAAATCTTATTGTATATAAGCAAATTTAATTTTTACAAACGAAAGCTGAAAATGTTATATTATAAGCCTTGAGTATATGTTAGTAGCCCAAGCGCCAGACGATAATTATTATAGACGCGGTAAAAAACAAAAAAGAAATAAGCTCTTTCAGGCTGGCTTATTTCGATAATAGAGATTTTCATTTAATTTAAAAGCATGTAAAGTAAAAGAAATATTAGAAATATTCAAACCGTATTTTACATCGATTTAAACTTACAGAGAAAAAAATATGAATAGTCTCTCCTATCGTGTAAAAACGAAACTAGGATTTTTATTTACTTCATAAAGTATTTATATTATTTTAACCAAGAATGTATTTGAAATGCAAAGTCTAATTTTTTTTTTAAAAAAAGGTGAATTATTTAATTAATCAAGATTAGTTACTTATTGAAATGTGCTGAGAAAAAATTTAAACAATATATGTTTTATCTTGAAGAAAAAAAAGTTTCTGAAAAATGATGGGTTGAAAAAAAATGCCGACAGTAAAAATTTAGTAGAGAAATGTAGCACAATTAATTTAAATGCAAACGATTATTTTAAAATTGATAAATAATTGCACTGCTACGTTTCCGAATGGCAACACATTGAAAATCTGTTTGGAACAATATTTTAAGAAAGTTTCAATTATGACTCAAGAGATATTTTATGGAATAAGCGGATTAAAGAATAAAAAAAAACTGTACAATAAGCGTACTTAATAATAAACTAAAGACGTAACTAAGTATAAACTAAGACAGTGGTTCAAAGATGAAGAAATATTTTTGCAGCCAGGGTAAGTTTTATTTTATTGATAAACTTCCATCACCATTTATTTTAGAAAAGCTTAAATGCTTTTGGTACAAATCAAATTTTATCAAAGCTCGAATTTTTTCATTGAATAAACGTAACTTAGACAATTTTTAAAAATATTTCTAATTTAAAATCCAAAAAGATGAAAAAAAAAAGTTTATTTTTTTCATAAATTTAAACTAACAACTTCTTCATTAGAATTCTCTAATATCTTTCTAACTTTCCTATTTTAAAATTATAATCTATCTATAAATACGTACTTGAAATTCGATAAGTTTACTGCGCAAATCTCGACTCAAATCAATTCAGCAATAAAATACATTTACATTTAAAAGAAATTATTCTTACCTAAGTTAGCTGGTCTATTTTGAGCAAATGCACCATCCAAGAACAAAGTTACTCCAAGAAAAATTAACGCCCCAGCAGCAAGTTGCCTCCACATCCTATTATGGAAAAAATCAAAATCTTTAATTAAAAAAATTTCAAGAAATTATCAATAAAATTATTTACACTTTTTCTCCATGACTACGATTTTAAAATTTTGGTTTTTCCATGATAAAAATTTAATAAATTCCAATTATACTAATTATAAAATTCTGTTTCTATTTGTTATTGCCTATTATTAGGTCTTCAAATTTTTAACTCATTCACTTATTAATATCTTCTTGTTTTCCGAATTTCCTTTTTGGAATCCATGCTGAACTGTTCCATATTTTTTTGCCGGTGCCATAAGTATTAAAAACATTTATCAAATTATTTTCTTTTGTTTTCATTTATACGTTGTTTTGTGTGCAATTTAACTTAAACGGTAAGATAGCTGTGAGTAATAGAAACTATTGAACTATTCTTTGTTAAATATATTATTTGTTACAAATTTTTAACTAATAAAAAATAAACTTTTGAGTATCATATGTTACTCAAAAGGGGAGAACAATTTATAAAATGGAAATTATACTATGTGTAGAATGAGGTTTATCGAAATATATTTTATTACATTTTTACATAGAACTGATGTAAATATTCTTTATTTAATATTTTGTAATATTTTTTTATTAGAGTTCACAGAAATCCAGAAACTAAGCGAATGTGTTAAACAGATTTAAAACTTTCGGATTCCAGATAAGAAAAATTATATACATACATATACACTTTAAAATGACAAAAATAATATAATGATAGTATAAGTAACAGATTTTGGTTATTTTCGTCCTTAACTTTTCCTTTCAATAACATGAAAATTACATTTTCCAAAATTACTGCTATCACTGTTTTCCTCTGATCAAGATTACTAGATGGATCGGTCCAACTAGGATGGGAATCGTGAAAGCGTACTTTAAATAAAAATGTTTCTCTTAAACTATTCATAAGGCTTTTTAAAAGTTTTTTTAAAAATTTATTTGCCATAAGATAAGAAGATAATAAATATTTTGATTTTGATCAAGATTATTGAGAAAAATGTTCACGTTTTCTATTTTTGTTGTTAAAAAAACAATTTAACAGACAATAAAAAAGTTTTTATCAGGAGTTAAAAGAAAAAATTATTATCATTTGGCTTTCTAAATAACATTTTATTGAATTCTTTTTAATTATTTTATTGTTCATTGCGTCACTCTAAAAAATTTTGTTAAGAAAAATAAATATTATTAATTTTTTCAGTGAAAGATTTTTTTCAACGATTAGATAATCTGTAGGCCATGGCATATTTGAAAAGATTACTGAGCCCGCTGAGATTATTTTCACACTTCAAATTGAGTAAATTTACAAGTCAAATTATATTCACAAATTATTTATGTTACATACAGAAATTGTTTTTAGGATTATGTTGGCCCCAAGAAATTTTTTGTGATTTATTGCTTACATTTCAAGAATTCCGAACTACAGAAAAAAAATGTGCAGTAGGTTTAAAATCTTAAGCTTAAATTTTTTATTTTTATTTTTAATATATTTTTGGATTTTCATTTCTTTTTATTTCCAATTCATTCTACTTAAACAGAATATAAACTACTTGCTTTAAAGTGTGTAGAATAATTTTCAAAGCATAAATTCCATCATTTTTTTAAAAAAAATTTTAAGTATACGCAATTTTTATCAATTTCAAACTATTTTGAATTTTTAATTAAAATTTCAATTATTAAATTTCTAATAAATTATTTAAAATTAGATATCGAGAAAAATCTCCAAATCAAATAATGATAAATTAAAAAAATGATGTTTGTAGCAACTAAGATTGGAATTTAAGATATTTATAAACCTGTCAATCAGGTTACTAATAGTAATGATTTTAAAAAATAAGCATCAATCTTTAAAAAAAATCTGTGTAATATTTGGGTACTGTTTCGAGAAAAGTTAATTTAAGCGGCTTATTTTGTTTCGAAATAGATACAACAAATAACAAAGTAACATTAACGGAAAAAAAACTTGAATTCAGCTCTAAGATTTTATAAGATCACCGCTATTAAGGAATATTTTATTCATTAATTCCGTATTAAAATGTCTCATGAAATATAAAATCGTAAATTTAAACAATATAACATTTCAAGGTTGTGAATTCCCGGAAGATAGGTAACCGACGAACCGTAATAATGGCCTCTGGCATTGAATCCACTAATGGACATTCCGGTTTGAAATCATAAAACGTGAGTTTTACTGCTCAAGCGGGCATGAAGCCAGACGTGTGACAGATATTAATATGGTAGAGAATCCACATTAATTGTTTTGTTCTTTTCAATTATCCTTCTTTTTCAGATTCATACACTTAGTTATAATTAAAAATATATAGTTACATATATCAAACTCTTCTAATTTATTGCTTTAGTCTAAGTTAATCAAAATTATCCTTTAATAATCATATTTTAATTTATTCTAAGAAAACAAAAACGCTTTATAAATACTTTTACAGACATAATGGTACAGTAGTTAAAGAAAAGCTTAATAATTACGCGTTTTCAAAAAGTATATCGAGTCTTAAATTTACTTCACAGTTAACTTTATTTTGCAGTTTGATAATGAAATTCTTTTTTAAAAAAATTATGTAACGGTTGCTTTAATTTTACGCCCAAAAAATGCCATGCATACTCCAGTATTTAGCAGGACTTAGTTAAAAAAGGTTAGCTTAATGAATGATAACAATTTAACAACTCAAATAAATCGTGAAATAATTTTATGTTTCGTAATTAACAGGTACCTTAACAGGAATATGATACACAATTGTATTTTTTACTATGAGGAATTATAAATAAACGCAGTAATTTTCTTTTTTCTTATTTAATATGTCAGCTAATGCAATTTATGATAACAAGAGGGAACATCAAGAATATATTTTCAAAACATTGCAATAAATATGGAGCAAAAAATTTAAAAAAAGTAGAATGTAACTTTAATAATAGCATCAAGCTAGAATAATATCATATTATTTACTTGATATAAAAAAAATAAGTCATGCCATATTTACACGTTAAAAATAAAATTTACACTTACTTTATTGGCTGATGCTATTTGCTGGAGTTACTTAAAGAAAGTGGTATTTTCGGCAAACAGAATTTCCTAGGATGTTTGCCCAAAAAATGTTTGACACGATTGCCAAAATATCAAAAGTACCCCTTTTTTAATAGAGTAGCATGTCTTACTCACCTAAAAACTCAAGGGTACTTGCTTCTCTGAACCGATCTGAAGGTGTGTGGGCCACGAGTCATGCAATCCCAATGTCTTGGCAATCCGGAAGTATGACCTGACCTTGCTTTATAGATTGCCTAAAGCAGGTTGCCGAGGAATCCCCTCCCCGCATCTTCACCAATAGATGTCTTGAAATCTCACAAGCGAATCAACACGGTCGTTGGCCCCGACGGGGTCACATCTCATCCCCTCCGGCTGTGTATTGACCTCCAGTCTTTCTCCAACCTTGATCAAGGATGATAGAAGATGAGGAGGATGAAGTTGGAGAAAGCGACCACTTGCTGATCAAAAATATTCTTGGAGAGGGTGGTAGCCCAATTTTTCTGGATAGGGTGTCAACGTCAAAATGACAGAAAGTTTTTTTGTTTTTTGTTTGCTTTTTGTGATTGACAAGTTAAATCCCCGGAGTATGAATAGATTAGTCATAAATACAAGTTTCGGCACTTATAAATAAGGGATATTTGTTTCTTCTTCTTTTAATTTACTTGAAGATGTCTAGTCCTTTAGTCGTCTTGTCTCGAATTCTTTATGATATCTTCTTTATCCAATCGCAAACACTTTCTTAAACTTGTTTATCAATGTTTTTATAAACAATTTTTTTGCCAGCTGGGCATGGAAGGAAAATTTTTCTAATTTTTTCCTCCCAAGTAATTCGCTATTAAACAATCAACATGATTTTTTTTTTTCAAAAATATTTTTGTAAGGCAAACTGCTCTTTAAATTTTGTATGTTTACATGAGTTTTTTTTTGCTTTTTTTTTTTGCTGCATGCTGTAGTTATTTATGATTATATATATGTAATTTGATACTTGAAATTTCACCATACTTAAATTGAACTAGTTTACTTATATCAATGTCCTGTTTTTAAAAAAATTTATAACAAAGAATTACATTTAACTTAACCGTTGGATTTATAAGAGAGAATGAAAAAATATACGATGCATGAAAAAAAATGAGAATACAAATACCGGGTGTTCCATGAATGTAATACCGGATGTCCCTTTAATGCTTTTAGAATATTTTAAAAAAATGAAGTAAAAGAAAAATGCGCATGAGGGGTCTGAAATTAATATTTAAGCTAGGAAAAATGACATAATTGAAACGAAATTCTTATTAAAGTATGTGAGTCAAAAATCATTAAAGCATGTTTGATTGCAGCAGGAAACAGAAAAGAGATGGCTATGATTAGAAACTTCTCTAAGTGACAAAAGGCAGTCAAGCTGGTTCTAATTGTTTATCCCGCTTTTCCCACTTGTTATTCGATAGATTTCTATAGCACTTTTCCTTGAATTAAATTTCAGATGTTCAGAAAAATCTATTATATATTTAACTATGTAAATGGTAAATCAAATTATTTTTTTTACCTTTTTTTTTCTCTAACGATTCTTTCTTCCGTAAAAATTAAATATTAAATTTTTTTTATGAGTTGTAAGCAATGTCATAATGGATATGCATCACTTGTTTTTTTTATTTTCTTTTATGCAATGTATGATGGAAGTATGTAACAGTTACTAATATAAAATTTAGCAATACTGTTTATAATTATCAGTTCTTGCAACAAATATTTCATAAATGCTACTTTGTGATAATCGAAATTTGTAATAATAATGCACTCTTAATCAGTGTTTCGAAAAAAGTTCATTTATTCATAGTTAACGATAACTACTTTCTTTCAACAAAAAAAATTAGTGATATAAGCTACTTTCGAAATAAAGTCCCTACTTTACTACTTTCAAGAGACGAACTTCGCAAGAGCACTCAATTTACACTCGTGTTCCAATTTTTTTTTCCGAATAAAAATCAGACTTATTCAAACAGGGAGAATTATTAAAAAAATCTTTATTCATGTTTACATAAACCAGTTTATTATTCTAAACCATTTTAATTTTTTTCTCTTAACCTTCAACTTTTTATGCCTTTCTCGAAAGATTACTTCCATTGGCTTCAAAATGTTGCTGATGGTACACAATTTTTCGCAAGTGATTTTAATTTTACTTAGTGTCCTTTTCTTGGCGCGGAAATGTCACTTGTATTGACGTCATTAAAACGGGATGGATGAATAAAACTTAGTTTCAATAAAAATGACCCCTACTGATATAATTATGTGTAAAAACAAATTTGCGAATTATGAGTGATAGAACTATTTTAAATAAATAAACAATTATGTTTTTTATTTAAGTTTGCGTTTACTTACATACCATACAAATTAGTTTACTTGTTTACTTTAAGACATTAGAGTTTTGTTTGTTTGAGATGTTTAGTTTTCTTCGAAAATAACTTTTTTTCCTAACTCTAAAACTAAATCTTTGGTAAAACTAAATCAAACATGAGGTTACTAATCTCTTTCAGCAATCGTCAAAAAGAGCTCTCTAAATAAGATTTGCACTCATCAATATTTTGAATACATTTGAATCTGCTTATTGGTTTAGTTAATATTTTTTATTTTGATATTTTTTCGTGTTTCCTCATTTGCGCGGCCAGTCTGAGAGGTTTTAATGGTTTCTCTTAAAGGTTTTCTTCAACATAAAGTCTATGAAAAAAATTCCGTGTCTCCCAAAAGTGGTCGTGAATAGAGGAGGTTGCAGCGCAGAGATGGTCTTTCCTGGAAGTTTCACTGTATTAATCATTATATATAATGGATACATTAAGGAAAAAATCCTGGTTTGGAGCATCAGGCGTAATTCTTATTAACACTCACCCACAGAGACATTCTTATTACGTCTACCAACGGACTCGAGAAGATTTGTACCAATAGTACTTTGAAAAATTAGTTACGCTTGAACCTTGTTTCCTTACTAAAAATAAAAGTAATTACTAGGAATTCCTGCAAATCATAGTTTAAGCTGTAGCCAAGGATTTCTTAGCGGAAGATCTTAACTCAAAATAAAAAAAAATCTCCACCAAAATGCTAATATGCCACATGGCTTATCTTATGAATAGTACTTAGCTTATCATTCTAAAAGCTTTGGGTTGCTTTATTTGTATACACTATTTAAAATTTCACTGAAAAACAATTTTTCTTACAAGTGTGGAGCTAAAACTTTCTGTTTTTTTTTCTAATCAATTTCGTTATTTATTTGTAGCACAGAATTTCCATTTTTTTTATTTAGTTTGAGAAGTATTTTTTTAATGTTTGAAATTTTGGTGAATTTTTTTCTTTCAAGAATCTGTTTTTTTTTCTTACCAACTTTGTTAGTAATTTGTAGCACAGAATTGAAATTTTTTATTTAGTTTGGGAAGTATTTTTTTGATATTTGAAATTTTGGTGAATTTTTTTCTTTCAAGAATCGGTCAAAATAATTTAGCGACAAAGCTAAAATGTTTTTATTTTATGATAGTATTTTTAGATAACTTTATAGTAAATATGCTACTATAGCTGAAATCCTGCTACAAATTGCTGAATTTTTTATATCTACCTACACTGTTTCTTTTTAAAAGTAGCTCATTACACTTCAAATTCAGAAAAATAAGTAGCGACTACAGTAGTTTCACTATTTTTAGCGTTCTACTTTGGACTATTACTTAAAAACAACAAATAAACACCAATATCGTTTTTCACAAAATTTACTTAAGAAAACAAAATAAATATTTTTTTAAAAACTGAATAGAAAAACATTTGGAAGAAAAAGTTATAATTATTTTTTTAAACCTCATGAACCTTAAAAAATTATTGACCTTGAAAATTTATCTATTTTAAAAATAGCGCTTAATAATTCAATTATGAATAAATTTTAGAAAATGTATAAATTGAGAAATAGAATATATCTTTTCGCAGGACACGCCATTTTTATTCACTTTTTGATTTATTGAACATTTAATCTATCTTTATAGCATTTTAAATCTGTGCGTAATATAAAGAACAAGAATATAAATGAATAAGAATGCTTTATATTTTATTTAGAATGGAAAAGTTAGGTTCATTAAATTGCTGACTGTTTTTTTTTTGTCTTATTATTGTTTCTTGTAAAGCAGAAAATGTTCAATGAGCACAAATGAGAAAAAAATGAAGACATGCTGCTGTTTTAGAATAATAAAAAAAGCACCATCATCAGTTTTATAACACGGCAAACATATTAAGTTTGTGTCTCGGCCCAAAGTGAAAAGTTAAAGTGTTAAACGAATACCCAAAGTCTTGAAAAATCTCTTGACTTCTTAAAATAAATTTAGTAGATATGCAAATGACCCGAATTTCAGAAAATTATTTAAAAAAATTTCGATATAAAATTATCTTTTTAATCAACAAAACTTAAAATTAAAGAGAAGAAAAGACATTAAAAACTTTATAAACATATAATAATTATAATTATAAACATTATAAACATATGAATATGTTAGTTTCTTCAATAAAAAATACAAAATTGAGAACTTATATTAGCTATATTCAGTGCATAATTATTTTTATTTTCATAATAGCTCTTTAAAATATTATATCATTAATTATAATTATGTTATTACGAAACTTAGTGGTTTGTTATACTATAATTATTTTACCCGTATGCCCTAAGTAAGGACGGGTCGGGGTAAATTTTTCCATACTATAATTATTATAAAATGAAATAAGGTATGAAGATTCTTAATATGTAGTTTATTAAACTTGTAGTATTATGCAGTTTTGTTATGCCACTATATTATGTAATATGAATAACACAAAAGTAAGATTCGTAAAGTAATAATCTCGCAAAAATTGGAAGATTCTTAGTCACCTATTTTTATAATAATTTCCTAGATGAAATAAACTGCTAAAAACTGTCGAAAAATTTTGTGTAACCAAAAGTAAATTTATTTGTAATTAAGAACTTAGCATTTCTATTACAAGTAATTGGCTAAACAATTCAGAACTTAAATTGTCTTAATGGAAAGAGGAGACGAAATGTTACAGATTAGGGAGTTAGGATATTGTTTGTATTTACGGTTTAAATCTATGACACATGTTGATTTAAATAGAGTGTCAAATTTGAAACAGATTTTTTTTTCCAGTTCCGTTTCTAGGCGTGACTGTATGCAGTTCATTAAAAAAAATAGTTTGCAATGAATTTTTTTTTTAAAAAAATTAGTCGACCTCGATATATCTAATTTTACTTACGCCTTCACACCAGGATTTGAATATTAGAGTAGTGGGCTTTTGTGCCAATCATCGCAAAAAGGCTAATGGGTACAAAATGACCTAATGAGCAACATTTTATTTCCCACATCCACTGTAATAGGAAGTGCGACCCGGCGTAGAATATTTCCAAAGGGTGGAAATAGTATCTTCTCTTTCTGAAGTTCTTCATGATACTTTTTTTTTGCCATGGAAATTAGAAAAGTGGATGACGATAACTGTCTTATTATGTAAATATGTGTTGGTTGCAGGTGCTTGGATGCAGATTCTTGTGAATTTGCAGATGATTAATCGGACGAAGTGTTCTCATTATTATTAAGAACGTTTCTTTTTTCTT